AAGTAATTAATAAGTTTTAGGAAAGTAATTCGGGATTTTGAAGAAATATCATAGGATATTTTAATAGATGAATGAAAAAAGTAAGAAGAATAAATTGGTCGTTTAATCGTTAAGAATTCATAAATTCAATAATTCCGGTAGTAAAATTAATTTATAAACTTAACTTAATTTATAAATTCAATAATTCCGGTAGTAAAATTAATAAGTTATTAAGTTTTAGGAAAGTAATTAATAAGTTTAGGAAAGTAATTAATAAGTTTTAGGAAAGTAATTCGGGATTTTGAAGAAATATCATAGGATATTTTAATAGATGAATGAAAAAAGTAAGAAGAATAAATTGGTCGTTTAATCTTTAAGAATTCATAAATTCAATAATTCCGGTAGTAAAATTAGTAAGTCAAATTTTTCAGCAATAAAAATGGAAGAAGAAAGATGCAAAAAAAATGCTTAATTTATGATTATATTATTTGTTAAATTTCAATGATTTTTTTTTTTTGCAATTAATGAGAACAAAATTAAAATATTACAATCTCGAAATTCAATAATTTGATTGCTTCATTCAAAGTAATACATTAGATGAGTAAATGAAATTGAAATGAAATAATCAAAATATTTCTATATGAAATTCCGGAAATGTTTGCATAAAATTGAATAACCGTATATTTCAGGTATTTGAATTAAAATGAAAAATACGAAATGATTATATAAAATTGACTAATCCTACAATTCAACAAAATTTAATCGTCCGAATCGTTGTACAATAATGGATTAAATGATTAAACGGAATTTGAATTGAAATGGAAAATTTGTTGGCAATATGATCGTTGGAGAAGAATTCTGGCAATTTAATTCGGAATGAATGAAGTTGTGACAAAAAGGAATGACACAAAAGATTCCTCCCCCCATTTCCTCAAAAAATCCTCTCCCTCGATTCATCCAAATGGTACCATAAATACATGTATGACCTTCAACCTAACATAGGTATTTAACGATTTTTATGATAGAAGAGAGGAGGGAAAAATGATCTGTACAAAAAAATTGACCTTTTATTTTTGGGTTCATTTTTAAGCCGATTAAAAATTCACTTAAATTTCAATAATTGATGAGGAAAGCTTTTTGGGGAAAAAAAAATGATTATTACTTCTCAAATATGTCAAAATATCTGTCATCTTATTTTAAAAATAATTTCATTTGCAAAATTTTTGCACTGTCATTTTTGTTACTGTATAATATATACTATGAGATGAAAATGTAACCTTAGTTTAATATTTGAATTTAGTTAAATTTAACAGATTTGAACTAACTTTATCGATCACATTCAATCATTTTAACATTTTGCTACAAACACTATTCAGTATCAATTAGCTTTTAGTATTTTGAAACAAACAACATCAGTTATATATGAAAAAGTGCATAGCTATTATTTGTCAATGATTGTAAAATGTCACATTGTCAATTCAAAAAAAAAAAAAAAGGATAGATAATTGAAATTTGCTTAAAATTAACAAATTAAATGAGTTATTAATCAATAATAAGCATAGTTAAGAAAAAAAAATTTTACAAAACATACAAACAATAATTATCAGAAAAACTTTTATGTTCTTTCTCTTCCTTTCTTAATTAATTTTTCTTTCCCATACTTCTTCTTTTTTTTTCAAATTATTTGTTAAAAAATAAGTTAAAAAAATTTTTAGCTTATCATTTAAATCATTTCTTTTGTCCAATTTTTTCGACGAATTATTTTAAGAGAAATAAAATTTTTCAATTTATTAAAAATAAGGAAAAAAAGCATCAAAGTGTGAAATTATTTTTGTAAATTATTAAATTAAAAATTGAATTATGTAATTAAATTAAAGATTAAATTAAAAATTGAATTATTAAATTAAAAATTGAATCATGAATTATAACAATTAGTGCGAGGAAAAAAAAAAAGTAATTAAACTATTGAAGAAAATAAAACGGATATATTGCAATGATTGTAATTAAAGTACTGGAAAAATGATATACATGTATTCGAGTAAATTAAAAATTGCAAGTAATAAGAAAGTATTAATTATGGGAATTAGCAAAATATTGGAATAATTTCAAATATTATGGTAATAAGTAAAGTGTTAATTAAAGAATAAAGTAAAGTATAAAGAATAGAATAAAGTATAATTAAAGAATATGCGGTAATAAGTAAAGTGTTAATTAAAGAATAAAATGTTAATTAAAGAATAAAGAATAAAGAATGAAATATCTCAAATATCATCAAACTATTCAAATTGTCCGGTTGAACTGTTCAATTCAATAGCGATTAAAATTATCACAAAGTATGTTGCTGGTACCAAAATTAAAAAATGTAAAAATTTTTTTTTTTCTTCAGCATTGCAAACATCACCAATGTAAAAAAAATGCGATAAAAATTTGGAAACAAAAATTCAATTTTATAAATAATTTGAAAAATTGCTAAAAATGATGTTTACGAACTGTTTGGATTGAAATTTCGCTATTAGCAATAATTTCACTCTTATTTATCCTTTTAAAAAATTTTAACTTCCATCTTTTGTATAATATTTTCACTTTTTTTTTCAATTTTATTCTACCAATGCACAACAACAAAAAAAATTTTTCAATGTTAGGAAAATTTAGAATTTATTGAAATTTTTGAAATTCACTTCTCTCATTTTATTGTTTTCATTTATATTTTTTGATATTGTTGAAAAAAAAACTTCAATATAATTCTTTTGAAAATTTTAATATTTGTTAAAATTTTTGTCATTGTTGTTTATAGTTTGATGCGTATTGTTTATTGTCTACTGTTTGTTGTTTATTGTTTATTGTTTATTATTTCTTGCTTGTTGTTTGGTTATTTATTATTCATTTTTTTCTCTTGTTAATCATTAATTTTTAGTGCTTATTCCTTGGGAATATTGTTTTTTTGTTTATTTTTTGTAAATATTATTTATTGTTTATTGTTTATTGTTCATTGTCTGTTGTTTACCGTTTATTTTGTTTATTGTTTGTTGTTTTACGACATTAAGAAATAGCTTTTTTTTTTTGGTTGATTTTTATGCAATTATTGTATTCTAAAGTATTATTACATACCAATTATTATATTCAGTATTTATATACCAATTTTTACATTCATACCAATTATTATATTCTTATTATAGCAGTAAGAAATTAATGAAGTTTAAAGGATGATCGTAAAAGAATATGATGCGATCGTATTTTATGCTCCTGCGCTATTAATAAGCTACAACTACTAGGCCAACCATAATTACAACTGTTCATTTGACCTTTGACCCATTCAGAATTAGGCGAACAACAATGAAGGCTAGTGATAAAGTTATCAAAGGAAAACTTTGGTTGCTATTTGCGATGATAATATGAAAAATGTTATGAATGCGCTATTAATAAGCTACAACTACTAGGCCAACCATAATTACAACTGTTCATTTGACCTTTGACCCATTCAGAATTAGGCGAACAACAATGAAGGCTAGTGATAAAGTTATCAAAGGAAAACTTTGGTTGCTATTTACGATGATAATATGAAAAATGTTATGAATGAATTAAATTTTAAATAATAAGTTTAAAAGAAGAA